ATTTGATCTTGATATTGTTTCTTGCTAGAAGAAACAATTTTGAAGTTGTGCTCACTACCCCATTCAATTCTTGCTGAAGAATCACAAGTTCTTGGTGAAGAACTATCTGCTGATCCTGCCTCATCGTAAGCTGTGTCATCTTACGATGCAGTTTTCTAAATTGGGAATAGGATTCCCGGATGGGAGTAAAGAAATTTTTGAAATTTCGCCCTACCTTCCTGCAGGGTTCAGCCATCCATATGATGGATCTCTCATCCCTTCAGAACACTCCCCCAATCCCAGAAGGCCCTGGACTCCTTAAGCAACTACCATCAAACTTCAGTTTTATGAACCCAGAGGGAGGAAGGGTCAAAGAAGGGCTACGAGTCCTCTTACATAGGGTAGAGGTAGCTATCTCTTTCCAATTTTTTACCAAATCATCCACGGAATAGCCTAAGAACAGCTCCATAGTTTTCAGCCAGAGGACTACCCTTACAAGAATTGTATCTTATAAATCTTCCAGGGTTCTTTCCTTATTTGAAAAGATTCGGGAGTTTCTTTCTTCCCATAGGGACCAACATACTGCTGCCCTAATGCTTCTCCACATAATCTTCCCTCTTTTCTTCGGCCATCTAAAAAATGAAGAAGAGAACAAGCTTTGAACACTCCCAAGGGGAGTCCAAATACACCCAAAGAGGGACAAAGCCCACTCCCATACTGTTTTAGCGACCGAGCAAGTAACCATGAGGTGGTAACCAATTTCCCCATCAACTTTACAGAGAGTACATCTATTAGGAAGTAAACAAGAATTGGGTCTCTTTTTCTGAAGTAGATCATTTGTGTTAATTCTTTCCAGGAAAGTTTTCCAACAAAAAACCCGAGGAGGAATGGGCTTACTCCAAATTCTTTAACCAGAAAGGACAACCTAACAGGAATAGAAGGCTGAGTTAATGTTTCAAAAAACGAAGCATAGGAGAAAGTACCTGAGGAGGAAGGGGTCCAAAATCTGGTGTCCTTATTAGGGTCCAAGAAGACATTTTCAAGGATGATTAACAGAGACATCATGCATCCCAAGTATGTATCCCTAATTGCCCTTCTTAAGCCTAGGTTCCACCCAAAACTAGAAGAAGAAACAAAAGGGCTTAAGAAGGTTGAGATGGGTTCATGTTTCAAATCTGACAGAGCATACAAAGAGGGAAATTGGTCCACCAAGGGTGAATCCCCAATCCAATGGTGTTGCCAAAATTTTATTCTATTACCAGAGATAAGACCATACCTGATCCAAGGGGAGAAAACTGGAAGCAAATCATGAATGGCTTTCCAAGGAGGGGCAGTTGTCGCCCTTGCCATAATTCCAAGTTCCCAACCATTGTCTTCCATCCCATATATGCTAGCCACAATCTTTGTCCACAATCCATCTCTTTCCAATGGAAACCTCCATAACCATTTCCCCAACAATGCCATGTTCCTTTCCTTGATATTCCCAATCCCAAGGCCTCCTAGCTTTTTGCATCTAGTTACCACCTCCCAATGCACCCTATGGTCCTTTTCCTCACCTGGTTCCCACAAGAAATCCCTCATTAATTTTTCCAAAGTGTTAGAAACTTTTGTGGGGATCTTAAATACTGACAGGAAGTAAACAGGTAGGTTAGCAAGGGTAGACCTAATCAAAGTGATTCTCCCCCCTAAGGAAAGATGATTCTTCCTCCAAGAAGAAAGCCTTTTTTCAAATCTCTCCAATACCGGGTTCCAAAAGCATTCCTTCTTAGGATTATCTCCTAAGGGGAGGCCTAAGTAAGTCAAAGGCCAGTCTGAGATTGCACAACCTAATACACCTACATATTCACTTAGCTCCCTCTCCTTCAAATTCACACCCACTATACTGCTCTTGTCAAAGTTCACCTTGAGATTAGACATCTGCTCAAAGAGTTGTATTGCCAATTTTAAATTCCGGATCCAATTTATGTCCCCACCTTCACAAAACAAGATTGTGTCATCTGCAAACTGCAGATGTGTAAGTAGTACCTCCTCCCTTCCCACTCTCCATCCTTTTATTAAATTCCTCGAGTCCGCTCTATGGATCAATCTCCCAAGGACACCTGCAATCAAAGTAAAAAGAAAAGGGGATAGTGGGTCTCCTTGTCTTATTCCTCTCGATGCGAGGAAGAAGTCCACCACAGCTCCATTCACCAAGATAGAATATTGGCAACTCCTAACACAGCCCCAAATCCATTTACACCAACTATCTCCAAATCCAAAACCTTTCAACACCTCCAACAAGAAAGACCAGTCAACCATGTCATAAGCTTTCTCTAGGTCCAGTTTGCAAACCGCTCCCTTCTTCTTGGATTTCCTAAAGCTCTCCAGACTCTCATTTGCCTTCTCCATCTCAAATCACTTTTCTAACCACTCTCTGTTTTCTGCACTTAGAGTTGGCCATTCCAAACTCTCTAACCAAATCCTTTCATTTAAGGGTCTTCTAAAAATAGATTTGAAATGATTTACAAAAGCCTCTGCTATTTCTACCGGGTGGGATACGACTGCTCCTCCTACTTCCAATTTTGAGATGGAGTTCTTCTTTCTTCTACCATTTGCCATTGAATGAAAATATCTAGTGTTTTTGCCCCCCTCCTTTAACCATTTACACCTAGATTTCTGTCTCCAACTTATTTCCTCCTTAAGCAATAAATCCTCCATCTGCCTCCTTAAAACAAATGTTATCAGCCCAATCTCAACAACTACCAAGAATTAAGGTTACGGGTGGTACAGAACTTGTCCCTGTTCAATCCAAGTAGGCTTTTGTAGGTTTCCAATCCAAAAAAAAAATGTAATATACAATAAAAGAAAGCACCGACCTCTTAAATCACTTCAAACCAACCATCCACAGGTTTCTAGTATGATTCTTGATGTTTCATCCAAGATAGAAAGAGGTGGGAAGCGGACATGGAATTCTCAGACCTAGGCCAAGGTTGTTCTTTCCATTCTCAGTCCAAAAAAGGAAAAAAAAGACCATGATCAGAAGAAAAGATATTCTAGAGCACATTGTCTTGCTCTGATACCATATTAATGAATAAGAGAAAGAAGAGAGAAAAGAAGAAAAAATGTGAGAGAGCCGAAATATCAGGCTAGCAACACCGTCTTTGATATATATATGTGTGTGTGTGTGTATTGTAGGGCAACTAAAAAATAAATACATAAAAAGACTAAAATGCCCTTGCGACACATGACTAAGAATATTACATCATGAGTAATGTGTGGTTGCTGCATAGAACACACAAGCCAGGACATCATTATAAGATTCTCTTGCTCCAACTTAGAAAAGTTGGGGTCTTCAAGCTTTGGCTTTACTTCCTTATCCGTAGTTTTCAAGGCGGCAAGGCAAAGCTAGACAATAAGGGAGCACCTTATCACCTGGTCACTTAGGCAACAACTAGGCAAATGCCTAGGTGATGAGTTTTTTTTATTAAAAAAATATAAATCCTAGAGCAGTTCCTTAGATTTCACAATAATAAGCAGTAATCTTTTAACTAATAATTACCATAATCCTCACAAATAAGTATAAACCCCATATCAAAATATAGTAAATCAACATATTTATGAAAAGAAAAATAAGAAAGAAAAAAAAGCATACAAAGCTGAGCCCTTGTTTTAGTCCTAGGAAGAAGAAGATCATGATGAAGAAAAGGTCCTATTGATTGTTCTTGTGTGTCAATAGGATAAAATCTTCAAGTTATTTCTTACTTGTGAATTTAGGTTTTAAAGGGTTCAAGGCTATGTCACTGACTTGTATGTCCTTGAGAGGAATCCAAGCTTGTCTCTACCTCCAATGGTAAGCTTGACTGATTGGGACCACTCCAAAAAGTTTATCCCATCCAATTTGATTGTAGTTATCTGGTTACTGAAAGTATCAATGCTTCCAGGAAAGACACTGGAAGGTACCTGGGTGTCCTTAGAAGGCTCCATCTCATACAATCAACTGCTAGTTACCTCTCACCAACTGAATAACACCCCAAATACTCCTTTGCAATCCAACAACCCAAAACAAATGGGTTTACACTCAGATTAGCAACAAACAGGGGCAAAAAAACCAGTTGGTGACAAAATAGGATTAGAAAAAATGCTCCAAAATATTATCTAGGGCTCAGAAAAGTATGAAACCACTTCCTGTGGATCTAGAAATAGAAAACAACCCCAGCACTGCAGGTTTCATGTATTGAAAAAGCCCTAATCAAGCAAAAAAATCCTATAAAACAAATCTGGATTTTTCAACAATCTTTCTCCAAAAAATTCAGAAAAATACTGAAACATCCTTGATCCTCCAATGGTTAAGAAAAATATACCAAAATTCTTCTAAAAAGAAGGCAAACCAACCTTCAACAGAATCACTCAAAGGTGCTGCCAACTGTATGGACTGCTGACGTCACCCAGTGGCACTCTAACATCAGCAAGTCCCTCTGCAAGTTACAAACAGTGGTAGAAGGGCCTTGGTCTTAGAAGCTCTAATACCAAGTAGCAAATGTGAAAAGACAGAAGGAGAAAAGAATAGAGAGAGAGAAGAGAGAGGTTCCTTTGAATGGAATGGGTGAGTTATTGTTCGCTACCCAAAAACATCCATTCATACTTTAGATCAGAATTACAATAATACCTCTAAATAGGCGACCAAATAGAAATATAATTGAAAAGACAATAATACCCTTAATCTCAAATACATTACATTCTCAACATAAGTAATTAGGGTACAAGTCATGAACGCAAAAAATTCACAAACCCCTTGAGGAAAATTGAGATGGGGGAAGGGAATAAAATATTTATTCAATGGACCTTTAAAAAATAGTCTGTCTTATCTCCAGTAGACTATTATGGTTTAAACTTGCGAAAATAAAAAGTAGAAATCAGGTTAGGTAAGCAATACCATTTTCCGAAGTTCAAAAACACATAGAAATTCATGAAAAGTGCCATTCAACTTTATGAAAGAAGTCACCTAATTAATCCAGTTCCCAAGTCTCCAAGCAAATAGATACCTCAAGTGGACTGCAATGAAACGGTTGGCCAACTTCCGCATTCTCATCACCAGTTTTTGACCAAGTTCCTGTATAGGTTCTGTAAATCTCAATGCATGATAATTCACCCGGCAACGCAACTTTTGTAGTTCATCATCAAGGTTATTTGCAAGCCTGTAATCAAATTTTGTTAATTGAACAACCTGCAAAACATTTCAAGTGTTAATTGGCTTACTCACTTGCTATGGAAGAAAGTCCCAACACAAAGCAGTAAGAGAATTGCTGAAAATTTTTTCATCATGCTCTAATAATCCAGAAAGATCAGAGATCATAATCATAATTTTAACTAAAAGCTGATAACTTGAGAAGCTTCCAAGCAGCTAGTATGCCAAATCTTCTAAGTGATGATATGTAGACACAGACAATGCAGCAAGCCCTCAGGGCCCAGAAAAATGGACACAACTATGTGTATGCATACATGTATTGGGCACTTTGAATTTTACCAAATTTAAGAAAAGAATAAATGTAGCCTGAGGGGAATTAAAACACCTTTACCTACATCTTATTTTAGATAGAAGTTGAGGTACAAATGTGCATGTTTCACAGGTCATGTTTCCAATATGTGTGGACATGAGTGTCATGTTAACAAGTGTCTGGCATGTTAGAAACTTCGAACAGATATTCTCCAGCATTTTTCTTTTTCTTCTTCTTTTTTTTCTGATAAGTAGATATCCTCCAACATTAAACAATGAAGATAAGACTGGAAACAAATATTGATGTAGAAAGCATAATGGAACCACAATCCCAATCAATTATAACTGGTTTAGTGAATGCATAGGTTAAATGTTTTTTAATTGTAACTAGTTAAAAGAATACACCTGAGAATTGATTCTGAAAAAAAATAAATGAGCATACCAGATAATAGATTTAGACAACATACCAATGAAAATGTTGGTAATTTTGATGATTTCATATCAAAGAAAGGTCCAAACTGCAGAATTAAGTTGGTATGATAGTACTCCAATCCTAAAAATAAATATAAAAAAATGGGGAAAAAGGGGGAAAGGCATGTTTTGGTTTTGTATCACTGAAAATTCAAAAATTCAAAAGTAAAATAGGGAAATCAAAAAACAAAAAACAAAAAAAGAAATAAAGAGAAAAGGGGCAAAACCATAATTTTCCCCGAGTTTTTTCATGAACCATGGAATGAAACTATATACAAAACCAAGACTTCTAAGAGGCATTACATTTCAAAGAACTCTACAAAATGGTTTACAGTATATTTTGAAAAGCACATTGTGAATAGAGCATGAATATAGAATATAATCACCAAATTAGTTATGTTGGTTTCTTACACGCCTTCTCTTAAGTATTGGCAGAACCATTTCCAGATAATACTGAGTAGTCGACTTCCTTGGAACGCGCATTGTATATGGAGGTTTTTCCATTGACCTCATTACTTTGTCAGGGACTCTCTTAACAATGGTGACATCCTTTGCGAGAAAAGAGATGAACCAGTCAACATCAAAAACACTCTCGAAGTCACTGCATGTCATTGGGGCATCCCTCATAAGCTAATAGTAAAGAGCAACCTGAATAGTTGAACAAATCATAGATAGTAGCATAGTTGTCAAGGCATCTAGGCAATTCTAGGCAACATAGCAAAAGATCATAAAACATCATATCTAAAAGGAAATAGCATTTTAAATCAATTAATTTTAATATTTCAAACACAATTATAAGTATTTAAAAAGATCAACTGCATGTTAAAAGAAAATTAGCAACTAAAGAAAGCTTTAACTTTGTGCTAATAAAAAAATTAAGAGTAGCAAAGGAGAAAAGAACGAGGGTCAGATCCCTTTCTATTTATGTTAAGAGAGAGAAACCACCAAAAAAAAGAAGAAAACTCTTTATCCTTCTCTTTTTTCTTTCTTTTTCTCTTCCAAACCCTTGGATCTTATATGCTTTCATTACCCAATGTTGATCCCAGCTATCTGGGATGTTGGGAGGGGTGAACTGGATACAGACCTAACCTCAGCATTTTTTTAGCACAAAGTGGCCGCTCTCAGACTTGAACCCGCATTCTAGTAACAAAATCTTTAAATAAAGCACCAACAATATACATAACATATGATAGGATGCATTAACACACATTGTAACAAGTAGCCAGCGATAGTAATATTGTTACAATAAGGCGTGGACATGCCTCTGGTTCCTGGAAGCTCTCTTTTGTTAGAAATTTGTGAGATGTCCTCATGCTTGCAATGTAGCTTTGGACGGATTCCCAGAGAGTTAAATCAAGTGGCAGATTATTTAGCAAAATCTGGGCAGGGAAGAGAATGTTTGTATAATGCAAATACAATGCCAAGTAATTTGTGGGCTTTTGTTTTTGTTTTTGGTTGGCAAGGCCTTGTACATCTCCTCGTATGCATCCCTCCCTTTCTTATTAATGAAATCTGTTATCTTCTCTCAAAAAACTCCTATTACAGTAAGGCACCTCCTTTGTGATTTTGTCACCTAGGTAGGCACATTTTTTATATAAGCTATGGCATTTATGCAAGGTGCTCAACTAAGGGTACCTTGTTACCTAGGTGATGCCTTGAAGTAATATGACCTGGATAAAGCTGCAGAAGTTGAACTTACCTATCATCTTTCCATAACGAATGATGATCCAACTGTGGTATAACTAGTGTAGCATTCAGAATACGTGCAACGACCACAGCATCACTTATCTGATTATGAAAATAGGTTATAAGAGTAAGGCAAAGAAGAAAATTGTAGTACATAAGAAATTAACTTTATATTTTTCTAAATGGTGCGCACTATAATCACCAGACTTACACGAACCATATAATTAACATTTTAATGCTAAATATAAAGAGACTAAGAATAAGCATCACTCAAAGCATTCAAATTGTCAACAACAAATAAATTCCAACATTATTCATTTACCAACATATAAGTGGCATGAATTCACCATTTGGAGTTCTGCAGTCTATTGGGTGCTTAGCCCAAAATCTACACAAGTTAATATTAACCGTCTTACCATCTGTGCAAAACATGCATAGCATAGGTCAAACTTTAGCTGACTTCTACGTGTACCAGTCAGAAACAAAGCCACCAACACAAATTTCACATTAATTTCAAAAGTAAAATAACATAAACACTTATGAAGAATGAAGTTAAGAACCAAAATTATTGATATTAGAAGATTGTAGTTACAAAAAGTTAGTGCAATCTGAAGCAGGAGTCAACGACTACATTTCTGTGGAAAAGGCAATAATGCATAATGTCTAATGTGAAAATGTAAAAATAGATTCTCCAACTGCAATAACAAGTCCCTGAACTAGAAACACAAATCCAAAACAGAAAAGGACTTGATTAATTAGAAAAAACAATATCCCTAGGCATTTCATAGTCCCATAATGGTTCTGTAGGGGCACTGTTTGTTCATTTTTCCTAAATCTAGCATCAAACAAATCTATTCATACATATGAGAATAAAATTATTTTTATCTAGTGATCAGATGAAAATTTCAACATATCCTACACAAGACATGTATGATTACCCCTGTTCTTTGTTGGTTTAACCCTCCACTTGTTGCAATAAGCAAATAGCGATCAGAAAACTGCTCATGTACAGCATCTACATTTGAGAAAAGCAATAGAAATACATGAGCAGTGTGATAGTCAATAACATCTAGATATTTTCAGTCTCTTGTAGAAGCTAAACAATTACTATTCTAACTCATCAATCTTATGTTTGGGTTTAATATCATAGATATCCTGCACAAGCAAATAAAAATACATGAGCAATCCGATAGTCAATAACATCTAGATATTGTCATTCTCTTGCCATAAACTAAACAAATTATTATTCAAACTTATCATTCTTATGTTTTAATATCATAGATATCCTGCACAACCAACATTTTCCATGAAAAAGTCAAAAACTCAAAGTAGACTCAGATGATAGATCCTACTAACACATGGTCTCAGTCACTTCAAACTGCAAGTGGTGTTAGGGTCCAACGTTGTGCTTTGATGGCCAAATGAAAATAATCAATAAAGGCATCGTCAGTATATTGTTGAATATTCCCAAGTGTAGCTACAGGGTGATAGTCAATATGGGAAAAGCAACAAGTCCAGAAGGTTTCTTAAAAAGCAAAAAATATATATTTTTTCTCAAAAGTTGCTGAACTTGAAAAGGTGCTTGAATGGATTTGCAGGTCTGTTCTTGTCCAACATTGTACTTTGATGGAGAATTGAAAATAATTAATCAAGACAATATTAGTATACTGTTGGATATTCCCAAGGATAGTTACAGGGTGATGATCAATATGGGAAAGAAACAATTGCAGAAGATTTCTTAAAAAACAAAAAAGAAAAAGATTTTTTTCTCAAGTCTGCTGAACTTGAAAGGGTGCTTGAGTGGATTGCAAATCTATTCTTTCTTTGTGTTCTTTTTGATGGCCTAGATCAAACTTCATGGTAGCATTGTATTTTGAGAAAGGCTATGCTGCATATAAGTCAACACTTCCAGGATCACAAGAAAGAATCTTTTGTGGGGTGTACCAGGGTTGGGGAGAGAACATTTTGTGAAAAACATTGACAGAATAAATGTTTTTTGTGGTCCTTTTCTGGTAGTTTATAATTTTTTTTGTTGGGCCCCTTCTCCCTCAGGCTCCTTTATCTGTGACTCCTTTTTTAAGAGTCTAGTTCAACTCTCTGCAAATCATGGGCAACCTTTCCCTGTCAAGGAAGTTTGGGGTAACCCTATTCCTCCTAGGATTGCAGCTTTTTGTTGGGAGGTCTTTTGGGAAAGGGTCAACTCTTGCGATCTACTTCAAAGAAAAAGACCTAATTGGTTCTTATCCCCACACTGGTGCATTCTTTGTAAGGCTAATGGTGAGATATGCTATCACTTATTAATCTCCTGCCCCTTTGTCTTGTACATTTGGGATTGGTTTCTCTCTCTGTTTGGTCGTAAGTGGACTACCCCGCTGGATACACAAAGTTTGTTTTTTTTCAGCTATTAGGTAGCCAAAGAAGAGGGGTTGGATACTTTGGAGGTGTACTAGAGCAGTTGTTTGCTGGACAATTTGGGAAGAAAGGAACTTGAGGATATTTTTCTGAAAAAGAGAGAAGTAGAGAAGCTTTAATTGAAGTTATTTCCATCAGAGTGTTGCAGTGGGTAAAATCTTTGGAGCTGTTTGAAGGCATATCTACAGATGCGCTGCTTGGAAATTGGAAAGATGTGGCTGATTCAGCTCCTGCTAAGGATGTTCTCGAGCCTCTTTGGTTCCCGCCAGTGGAAGGCTTCATTAAGCTGAATTTCGATGGAAGTAGCGAGGGTAATCTGGGTCTTTCAGGTATTGGAGGTGTATTCAGAAATGAAAAAGGAAAAGTTGTTGCATTATTCTCTGGGCCAATAGGTACAGGTGATTCACTCAGAGCAGAGATTATGGCTGTCTTGGAAGGAGCACAAAGGGCAAAGAAGCTAAATATTAGAAAGATAATTGTTGAGGATGACTCCAAGCTAGTAATCTATTGGCACCAACAAGGAGAAAATGGTTTCTGGAGTTATATTAATGAAAAAAGAAGATTTAGATTTGACACAATATGGAAGTGAGACTTTAATGGGTAAAGCGAAGTGCCAACTCCTTTACTGATGTACTTGCTAAACAAGGGGTGGGAAGGGATACATTATTTTGGGCTCTATTGTAAGTTGGCTCTTGGTGGGGAGGGCTAAGAGAGCTTATCCCTCACCCTTTTTTCTTTGTTTCTTGTTGTACCTTTGTTTTTCTTAATCATCTAATGAATTGGTTCAGTTATTGATCAAAAAAATATAAATAAATGTTTTTTGTTTTAAGGGAGTTTCTGTCTTTTTGCCCCTTTTTAAGTTCTGCCTTTTGATATCAATAGAAGGGGCCGCCACCCACTTTTCTATTGGAGCCTTTTCCATGTCTCACTTCCTCTCTTTTCTCTTAAACTTTATACTCAGAAAACATGGTATCAGAGCCACATTCCTGATCGAACTGACTAGGCCCTCTCAACTTCTTCTCCCCTCTTCTTCTTCCTTGACTGATATCATCTTCAAGAAGTTGTGGTACTTGTTTCTGGACTGATCGAGAGGTAGGGTTCTTCCTTTTTTCTTCCTTCTTGGTTGTTGTACCAAGAGGACTCATTGCTGTGAGCAAGGAGTAGATGCAAAGAGGTTCAGTTAAGACCTCTCTCTGTTTCCTGTTTGGGTCTCTTGGCCAAGATGTTGTGTGCTGGAGGCAAGGTCTTTTGTGTTTATAATGTTTCCAGGACTGTAACCAGTGTTGGCAATTTCTTGGAGTCTAAGGAACTTGTAGTGGGGTCGGCTGGTGGTGTTTGCAGTTTAAATGTTTGCTAAAAGGTGTAAATGGCTACTGAAGACTCAGCTATTTTACCTGTCACAGGATCTCAGCCTGGGATATTAAATCAGGTGGATAATATGTTTGCCTCCATTCCAACTGTCCCTCTTGAAGGCCTTAACTACCTTGACTGGGCTAAGGGTGTCAAATTGTTTCTTAGTAACAGAGGGAAGACTGGTTATTTGACAGGTAATGTTGCTAAACCAAAAGAGAAGGGTCCCATCCATGTGATAAGTGGGATCAATAGAATTGTATGGCAATGACTTGGCTTCTCTCATCCATTCATCCTTCAATTAGAAAGAACTTTATGTGGACTGAAATGGCTGAGGAGGTGTGGGATCATGCTAAAGCTACATACTCTGAGCAAAGGCACCATGCTAGGGTTTACCAGTTACGAATTGAGTCTGCCACTTGTAAACAAGGGGATAAACGTTTATCCACCTATTATGCCACACTCACTACCATGTGGAAGGAGTTGGATTACCACCAAACCATTGCCTGGAAGGATGCAAAGAATGCTAAAGTTATAGGAGATTACTGTCTCAATGAAGGGTGTATACCTTCTTAGCTGGCTCAACCCTATCTATGAACTAATCAGAGTTCAAAGACTGGGGAGTAAGGATTTGCCTTATTCTCCAGGAAGCCTATGCCCCAGTTCAGCCAGAGCCAGAGGAGTCTAGGAGGCAAGCTATGAATATTGGTGAGAGGGAGAAAATTGCCTTGGCTTCTAAAAGTTTAAAAGGGTGATTATTTCAAGAAGACTAAGAAATTTAAAGAAATAGATAATGATAAACTTTGGTGTACTCACTGTGGTAGGAGGAGATACACCAAGGAACACTTTTGGGACTTTGTTGGGAAGCCAAAAACTTCCAACAAAACAAATATGGAAACCAACAAAGGAGTAGGGGTGCAAGTTGGGCGAGCTAGGCCGGGTTTTAGCTCAACCCAAGCCCAACCTTAGGAATTAGGCCTAAAGCCTGAACCTAGACCCAGCCTGAGGTCAAGCCTGAACTATTCAGCCCAAACCCAGTCCACACTAAAATTTGATGCACTCGGGTTGGGCTCGAGCTTGGGCCGAGCTCCGGTTAGTCAATTAGCCCACACTAAAAATTGATACACATGTGTGTATATTTATGCATGTATGCATATATGTATAGTTTATTAAAAAAATACATATATGCATGTATGCATGCAAATGAGTCAACATATGCACATATAGATGTATATAATCGGGTCGAGCTTGGGTTGGCCAGGCTCGGGTTTCCTAAGTGTTAGGCCCAAGCCTAGCCCAAACTTTTGGGCCCAAGCCCACCCCGAGGACCAAAAATTTAAGCCCAGGCCATGTAAAATTGTAGGTTGAGTCAGTCTAGGCTTGGGTTGGGCCCGCCCAAGTTGCAACCCTACAAAGGATTAGTAGTCCAACCAATGTTGTGACCAGCACACCTAGTCAAGAGGAGCAGACCTCTCCATCCACTATGGTACCTATTCAAAGCTTTGGCCCAAAGGATGATCATATCACCTCCCTTCTTGAACAATTTGGTAAGGCACTTTGCCAACTTAAGGGAAATTCCTCTAATCCCTCCACCTCTTTTGCGACTAACTCAGGTAATTAGGCTACTACTTTTCATGCTACTTTTGCTACTAGGAATTCCTAGGTCATTGACTCTAGGGCTTCTAATCACATGATCAGTAAGCCCAATATGTTTTCCTCTTATCAGTTTTTGTTAGGAAGGGATAAGGTGAGACCGGCAAATGGATCCTTCTCTTCCATTGCTTGGCAAGGAACTATTTCACTTCCTTTCAAGCTTGTGTTGACCCATTTTCTACATGTTCCAAATTTACCCATTAGTCTTCTCTCTATTATTAGTTTAACATGGTCTTTGAATTGTAAAGTAACCTTCTCTCCTACTTCTTGTATCTTTCAAGATTTGACTTTGGGGAGGACAACTGGTGAACGTTGTGTGTTTGATGGCCTCTACATTTTGGAAATTGCTATCAAATTAAGGGATTCTTCTTTTGTAGTCTTTACGAGTCTTTCTAATTGTTCTATTAAGAGTCAATTTATTTGTGGCATTTTCGTTTGGACCATATATCTTTTGAAGCTTTAAAGTGTCTTTTTCCTTTTTTTTTGTTTAAGTGCGTGTAAGTGTCCTTCCTAGTAAAAACTAAGCATTTAAAATTTCCTTTTCAAATTGTGCATTCAAATGTGTGGGGCCCTGCTACTGTGTTATTTTAAGGGGGCTAT